AACTCCTGGGCTAAAGCAATCCTCCCACCTAAGCCTGCTGAGGAGCTGGAACTACAGGCAGACACCATCATGCATAGCTAATCTTCCAAAAATCTTATTTGTAGAAATGTGGTCTCACTGTGTTGGCCAGGCTGGTTTTGAACTCCTGGCTTCAAGCAATCATCCTGCTTTGGTTTCTCAAAGTGTTGGGATTCCAGGAGCGAGCCACCACACCTGTTTTTCTTTTTTGACAGACAGGTTCTCACTCTGTCATCCAGGTGGGAGTGCAGAGATGTGATCATAGCTCCCTATAACCTTAAACTTCTGCACTTAACCAATCTTCTTGCCTCAGTCTCCTTACAGTCTGGAACTACAGGTATGTGCCACTGAACCCAGCTAATTATTTTTTGGTTTGTAGAGATGGGGTCTTTCTATGTTGTACAGGCTGGTCTGGAAATCCTGGCCTTCAGTGATCCTCCTACGTTGCCCTTACAAAGCACTATAATTCTTTTTTTATATGTGTTCAATTGGCCAACATTTTAATTGGTATTTTTTGAATCTATGTTCATGAGAGATGTATTACTTGGAGGCTTTCTTGTTTTGTGATATCTTTTGTCATGATTTGGTATTAAAAGAATTTCTATAGAATGAATCAGAAAATTTTTCTTCCTCTCAATTTTCTGCAGGAATTTTATAAAATTGTTGTTATTTTTTCCTTTAAATGTATCACAGATTTTGCAAGTGATAGTATCTTGACCTAGAATTTTCTTTGAGGAAAGAATTTAAATTAGAATTTAGTTTCATTAATTTTGTATAGTACTGTTAAATTTCCTGCTTCTCTTTGTGTAATTTGTGTCTTCCTGGGAATTTGTCCATTTCATTTAGCTAATCAAATTTATTGGCATATTTTTAAAAATAATATTTGTTGTCTCTTTAATGTCTAAATTTTTAATGGTAGTATTTCTTTTTTCCTTATTTAAAAAAATATGTGTTCTTTCTTTTTATCTTGATCACTCTGGCTAAATAAATTCATTATTAATTTCATTGAATTTTTCAAACCAGCTTTGGGTTTCACTGATTTTTTAGTTGTTAATCTGTTTCGATTTTATTGATTTCTTTTTATTATTGTTTTTCTTTTTTCTGATTTTGAAATTAATTTGCTCTTCTTTTTCTAGTGTGTTAAAATGAAGGCTTACATAATTTAAGATCTTTTTTCTCTGCTAATATAGGTAGTAAAAGCTCTAAATTTTTTTCAAGGTGCTACTTTAGCTGCATCTCACACTTATGATATATTATGTTTTCATTAGTTTATTAAAATATTATCTAATTACTCTTATTTCTTGTATATTAATGTTTATTTAGTAGTTTGTAATTTAATTTTCAAACATTTGGAGGGTTTTCTGGATTTTGTTAATTTCTAATTCAATTGTAGTCAGAAACTATACTGTTTATGATTTTAATACTTTTAAATGCTTTGATGATTTTTTTGGTATTTTTAAATTATACTTTAAGTTCTAGGGTACATGATGCTTACTTTATAATTCAAAATATTTTATCTCTTAGTAATTGTTTCTTTAATACTTCAGAAGAGTACGTATTCTGCTGTTTTTGGGTGGTGTGTTCTATAAATGCCAATTAGGTCGAGTTGGTTGATAGTCTTTTACTTAAATCTTCTTCATTGTTACTGATTTTTTCTTACATTAGTTATTGAGCGAGGGGTGTTAAAAAGTCCAACTATAATTGTGAATTCATCTGTTTCTCTTTGTGTTTCTATCATTTTTGTATCATGTATTTTAAGCTGTGTAATTAGGCATGTAATTTTGGATTTTCATGCCTTTTAAATAATATGACCCATTTATTCTTATGAAGTGACCGCTTTTAATTTTGGTAATGTTCTGTGTTCTTAAATCAACTTTACTGTATATTAATATATCTTTCCATTTATGTCTTAATTTTAGCATGGTATATAATTTTGTATGTTTTACCTTTTAAGCTACCTGTATATATTTAAAGGAGATTTCCTTACAAAGCATATACTTAGGTCTTGCTTTTTTATCTGCTCTGACAATCACTGCATTTTAAGTGGGGTGTTGACATTATTTACATTTAGTCTGGTATTGGTATGACTGAGTATAAACCTACCATCTTGCTTTTTGCTTTCTATTTATCTTACTAGTTCTTAGTCTTCCCCCCAGACAATGTTCTGACTTCTTTCATGTCAAAATTTTTTATGATTTCATTTTGTCTCCTTTGTTGGCTAATTGGCTATAATATTCTTAGTGATTGCCTTTTGGTTTATATCAATAGTATACAGCCGTACCTTATCAAAGTTTACCTTCAATTAATATTATACTACTTTATTAATATTATAATAGTAAAGTTTCTATTTCCCCTCCTATTAGCCTTTGTGCTGTTGTTAACATCATTTTACTTCTACATGTTATAAACCACAAATGTACTGTTATTATTTTTGTTTCAAACAGTAAATTATCTTTTAAAAATAACATGTATTCTATATTTACCCATATATTTATCATTTTTAATGTTCTTTTTTTTTGGTATATTCAGATACTATTTGATGTCATTTCACTTTTGCCTAAAGATTCCGCTTAACATTTCTTTTAGTGCAGATTTTTTCATGATTAATTATTTCAGTTTTATGTGTCTGAAAAGTGTCTTTTTTTCACTTTCATTTTTAAAATAATTTAATTTTGGTCATTATTTTAAAATATATTTTCTCTCTCCTTTCTCTTCTTTATTACTGAAATTACAACTAATTAGGCCATTTTATATTGATCCACAGTTCATTGGTGTATTGTTCTTCCCTTACTTCTCAGTTATTTTTTTCTCTGTGTTATGTTTTGGATAGTTTCTATTGACATATTTTTAAGTTCACTAATATTCAATGTATTTTATAAAAAAAATCTCTAGATACTCTACTTGAGATAGGTAGATAGATAAGTGGATAGATAGATTTGTATATCTACTTAACATAATGAGTCTTCTCTATCTTTTCAACATATGCAATGTAGTATAATGTTTTACTATGTCTATTATTTCTATGCTGTTTTATTTCTTCACCTTTTTCTATTGATATTTCTCCTTGTTACCAGTTATATTTTTTGCTTCTCTGCATTGAATTTCATACCTCTTGTATTTATTTTTTGGGTGCTGAAGGTTTTTGTATTTCTAGAGTTATTCTTGATCTTCGTTTAGTATGTAGTTAAATTATATGGAAACAGTTTGATTTTTTTTGTAACCTGGTTTTAAGCATTGGTAAGCAGAACCAGAGAAGTGTTTATCTTAGGGAGGAATTTTTCATCATACTGAGGTAATATTCTCTGAGTACTTTGCATGATGTCATGTGAATTCTGAGGCGTTGCACTTTTGCTGGTGGGAACATGAAAAATTCTTGTCTCAATATAAACTTTCTTTGCTTTTCGTTTTGTTTTCTTGATTTATTCCTCAAGAAGGATTCTTTTTCTTCTTGGTTTGTTCTTTCCTCAGTCTGAGGTAGTTTCTTCAGACTTACTCCTTTATTAGTGCTTCAAGATGTAAGGAGGACCCTCCTGCAAATCTCTAGGGCTCTTTTTGTGTGTCATATTTTCTTCTTTGCTATTCAGCCCTACCAACTCTAGTTGTTCTTCACCTCCCTAGCTTGTTAGTTCTGTCTCCTCACTCTGTAGGCCTGCTAGATTTTATCTGGATTTCCCCTCCTTTTGCTGGAGCCTGGAATTTCACGGCAGGCAGTAAACTGTTGCTATCATAAGCCTTTCCTTACATATTTTCTCTCCTTCAGGGATCATTGTCATTCCCTACCTGATATGCAGTGTCTTAAAACTTGTTACATAAATTTTGTACAGATTTTTAATTGTTTTAGGTGGTGAATAAATCTGGCCCACACTTTTTCATTATGGCCGTAAGTGGAGACTACTTTATATATTTATGCAAGCAAACAAATGAGTAAATATACATACATATACATATATATGTCATATCCTTTAGTATAGAATATGTAAGTAAATTTTGCTATGTGGTGCTTTCTCATTCTCATTTTTTACCTCCATTCCTTCTCCTTTTCTCTCTCTCTCTTTTTTATATGTTTTATAACTATCTTTGTGTAGTGTAGATGACTTGTTACTATTTATTTTCTAGTTTTCTTGTTTTTTATTTTATTTATCATGTTTTGAATGTAGATATTTTATATTTTCATATAGTCAAATATATCAATCTATTCCTTTATGAACTCTGAGTTTTAAATTATACTTAGATTTTTGATATGTCAAGATTTTCAACCTATTTACCTATGTCTTTTTAAATTAATCTTATTATTTATATTATTGACTCTTTGAATTTATTTTAGTTAAAAGAGTGTTCAATCAATTTAAAAAATCTTAAATGAAATGAGGTGTATTTAAAAAATCTTAAATGAAATGAGGTGTATCTGGATTCTTTTTTTTTTTTTTTTTTTTTTTTGAGACGGAGTTTCGCTCTTGTTACCCAGGCTGGAGTGCAATGGCGCAATCTCGGCTCACCGCAACCTCTGCTTCCTGGGTTCAGGCAATTCTCCTGCCTCAGCCTCCTGAGTAGCTGGGATTACAGGCACACGCCACCATGCCCAGCTAATTTTTTGTATTTTTAGTAGAGATGGGGTTTCACCATGTTGACAAGGATGGTCTCGATCTCTTGACCTCGTGATCCACCATCCTTGGCCTCCCAAAGTGCTGGGATTACAGGCTTGAGCCACCGCGCCCGGCCTTGGATTCTTAATTCTTGTTTAACTTCATGGAACAAAGCTGCTGTCTTTCAAATTTTTGTCATTTTTTTCAAATCGCTGGAATATTAAGCAATCTGAGCTATAAAATTTAATTTGCCTCTACTAAGACTAAGATTTTTCAACTTTTTATTTATAAAAGTAAGGGAAACTAAAAAGCAAAACATCTCAATAAATTAGTTTTTCCTTTGCTCATTAATATTGGTGCTAATTTAAATGTTAGAATCCTTGACTTTTATTATATTAGACTCGGGAGACCTGGTGTTGATTGCTATTGCCAACATGAAAGTGGTGCAGCTGTCCTACAGCTCCAATTTTTGATCAATGAGGTAAGGATTATTTTCTGACTACTTAAATCAGACACTCCCCCACTAATAGTAAATCCATTGATATAATCATTTAAATACCATGATTCTAAATGCTTAAATATATATGTATGCAATATTACTTCTGATTACATTTTGACAAAAGACTGTACTCCTATATTGGCCAATTTATTAAATTTTAAAGAAAAAAGATTGTATATACCAGATTCTGTTATTGTTACTATATAGCATAATTTAGTTTCATTATTTAAATTTTTAAAATAATTCTAATGTCCTTTGATTGCTTCACTGTCCATTAAATTTTTCTTCTATTCACTCAATTCCCAACAACTTAAATTTTGTAATCATGGCCTAACTTCACGTTTTATCTTTATCTTTTCTGAAATGATCTTTTTTTGTTTATATACCTATGGGCCCTTTTATTTGTATATATCTCCAAATGCTTTTGTTGGAATATATATGCATTTGTATTTATTTTTGTATCCATAGCTATTATGGAAATGAGCTTTCTACCCTATCTGCATTTTTATAAAATTATAGTGATGAGGAACTCTCTAAAAACAAAATATATGTTTATGAAGCTTAGAAAAGTTGCAGATATTCCATTAGTAGAAGGCTACTTGAGACTTTCTTGAGTCAGATTTTTATAGTGAAACTTAGAGTCTTCTAGAGCTTCTTTTGTGTTAAGTGAGCCAATCAATGTAAAAATACTATAAAAGTTTGTGCCATGCCAAATGCAGGCACTTAGAAAATTGAACTGCCTTGGAAAAAAAGCTTGGTTATTTTCTCATGGCATGACAATGATCTTTCGTTCAGTGCCTGCATATATTTGTGTATATCTATTCCTGTATATCATCCTAAGAACTTGCAGTAGTAAATGTGGGTAAAATGTCTCATAGAACTTCACATCAGAGATACATGAGGCAAGTAAGGTATTGGTAAATGTTCACTTTCCCTTCTCTTGGCTCAAAATCTTTCTCAGAAGACTGTGAGATCCTCCTTATTGACAAACCTAGCATATTTCACCTTGTAGGCACACTTACTATGGGGTACTGAAATGAGAAAGGAAGGTAAAGAAAACATTTGAAAAATATTTCATTGTAATAACAGCCTTTTTGAGGTCTCAGTGCTACTCTGTTGTTCCTTGTTGAGGGATCTCAGCTTTTGCCTTCTGCGTGGATATATACTGGCAGGCATAATTTGTTTCCATTTGATTTGTACTGAGTCTGATCCTTTGAGATTTGTCTTTCAGGTCCTATGCTTGCCCCTGTAATACATAACTAAGAATAAATAAAGACAAGCCTTCAACTTCCTTGCATTGTTCACATCATTTATCTTGAACTACTCTCCCTATGTACCTCACACAAAGCATCTGTACTTTTTCCCAAACTTGCCAGTTTCTGACCTGACTGGTGTTTCTATTCATAGTTTTAAATATTTTCACAGATCTTTATAATGCTTTTGGTAGGTTCACTTTGCTTTCATAGATTAACTTAGACACTCTGCTGATGTGCTTATTTTTATGTGTCTGTCCCTGTTTGTGCTATTATGGTTAGTAGTACTGTTCACTTCCCTCCAACAATAAGTCACATCTCAGTTTTATCACAGAATTAAGAATACTGGCCAGGTGCAGTGGCTCACACCTGTAATCCCAGCACTTTGGGAGGCTGAGGCAGGTGGATCATGAGGTCAAGAGAGAGAGACCATCCTGGCCAAAATGGTGAAAGTCTGTCTCTACTAAAAGTACAAAAATTAGCTGGGCATGGTGGTGTGCACCTGTCATCCCAGCTACTAAGGAGGCTGAGGCAGAAGAGTTACTTGAACCTAGGAGGCAGAGGTTTTAGTTAGCTGAGATTGTGCCACTGTATTCCAGCCTAGTGACATAGCAAGACACCATCTCAAAAAGAAAAACAAAACCGAAAAACATAGAGTTTGATACTAGAATTATTTAGGTATTATACTAAGATATTAGTGACTATATGTTACTTTAATTCCATTGCCTTTGGCATGTTATATCTTCTGTATAGCATGTAACTATCTCTTGTAGAGAATGTTTTATTGTTGTTACATATCATGTAACATATCACCCTATCTCAAGTGAACTTCCACCTCTCTTAGAAATGAGACCAGTATACTGTGTCTCAAAAGAAAATCAATTGTAGCTCATCAAATGCTTCCAAGGAATCCTAATACATTTCTAGTTTCTTTATAGGAAGCATAAAAATGAAGCAGGCAAACAAACACAAAAATTATCATGGCATATATAGAATACCTTCTATTTCATGGCAGGAAATTATCTGAGTTAATGTTAAGATGTATATATCAAGGGGATAGATCCAAGGTGGCTGAATAGTAATAGCTCTGGAGTGAAGTCCCCAGTGAGAGAAACAAACACAGAGTGTGAGTTATCACCACATTTCCAAATGAGGTACCAGGTGCATCTCAATGGCACTGTTTGCACAGTGGGTGTAATCCAAGAGGGGTGAGCAGAGGCAGGGTAAGGCGCTGCCTACCCTGGAAGTGCAATCCACAGAGGAACACTCTCCCTACCCAACGGAGGCCATCAGGGGCTTGTCCATTCACTCCAGCACTCCGGTTCAGATACTGTGCTTCTACAGTTTTTGCTGCCCACAGACCAGAGATTCCTGGGCCAAAAAGTGCTACAAGTTTTGAGCACAGCTGATTCAGCTGGTGCTGCGGGTTTCCACACAAAAACTCACAAAAATCTGGGTGGCCGTTTCAACTGGTTCCTGAAATGGACTGGGAGACAGCTGCCCATTCACTGAAAAGGTGGGAGCTGAAAGTGGGGAGCCAGGTGATCTGGCTCAGCAGGTCCCATCCCCACAAAGACCAGCAATCTGAAACACTCTGGATTCAGAGTGTCACAGCAAGTGTAGCCAGACCCAGGACAGTCCAGCTCTGTGTGGGGAAGGCTATCTGCCATTATCAAGGCAGTCCACCACTACTCAGGCAGTCCACCATTACTGAGGCAGTCTACCATTACTGAGGCAATCTGCCATTAATTAGGCAGTCTGCCATTACCAAGGCAATCCACTATTACTGAGGCAGTCCAACATTACGGAGGCAGACAGCTATTATCAAGGCAGATCTAACTGTATATCTATAAACAAAGCTGCAAGGAAGTTTACACAGAAGCTGGGCAGAGCCTGCAGCAGCTCAGCAACACCTCAGCTGGCAGACTGTGACTAGACTACCTCCTTGCTGGGCAGGGCATCTCTGATAAAAGGCAGCAGCATGTCAAGAACTTATAAATAAAGCCCCACCTTCCCAGGACAGAACACCTGGGAAAAGAGGCAGTTATGTGTTCAGTTGCAGCAGACTTAAATGTGCCTGCCCAGCAGCTCTGAACAGAACAGAACTCCCAGCACAGTACTTGAGCTCTGCTAAGGGACAGACTATCTCCTCAAGCAGCTCTCTGACACGCATAGATCCAAAGAGGCAACTCACAAAGGAGAGCTCTGGCTGACATCTGGTGGGTACCATTCTGGGACAAAGATAACAGAAAAAACTGGCAGCAACCCTTACTGTTCTTCAGCCCCTGCAGGTGATTCCAGGCAAGCAGAGTCTGGAGTGGACCTCCAGCAGTCCTGCAGCAGAGGGGTCTGTTAGGAAAAAAAAGCTAAAAAAAACAGAAAGAAATAGCTTCAATATTGACAAAAGGGACTTTGACTCAGAGACCCCATTCGAAAGTGACCAACTACAAAGACCACAGGTAGATAAATCCATGAAGATGGGAATAAACCAGTGCAAAAAGGATGAAAACACCAAAGACCAGAATGCCTGTCCTCCTCCAAGGGATCACAACTCCTCACCAGCAAGTGAACAAAGCTGGATGGAGAATGAGTTTGATGCACTGACAGAAGCAGGCTTCAGAAGGTGGGTAATAACAAACTTCTCTGAGCTAAAAGAACATGTTCTAACCCAACGCAAAGAAACTAAGAATGTTGAGAAAAGGTTAGACAAAATGTTAACTAGAATAACAACTTTAGAGAATAACATAAATGACTTAATGGAGCTGAAAAACACAGCACGAGAACTTTGTGAAGCATACACAAGCTTCAATAGCTGAATGGACCAAATGGATATCAGAGATTGAAGATCAACTCAATGAAATAAAATGAGAAGACAAGAATAGAGAAAAAAAGAGGGAAAAGAAATGAACAAAGCCTCCAAGAAATATGGGATTATGTGAAAAAACCTAATCTACATTTGATAGGTGTACCTGAATGTGATAGAGAGAATGAATCCAAGCTGGATAACACTATTTAAGATATTATCCAGGAGAACTTCCCCAACCTAGCAAGGCAGGCCAACACTAAAGTCCAGGAAATGCAGAGAACACCACGAAGATATTCCTCAAGAAGAGCAACCCCAAGGCAAATAATCATCAGATTTACCAGGTTGAAATGAAGGAAAAAATGCTAAGGGCAGCCCAAGAGAAAGATTGGGTTACGCACAAAGGGAAGCCTATGAGACTTACAGCAGATCTCTCAGCAGAAACCCTACAACCAGAATAGAATGGGGGCCAATATTCTACCTCCTTAAATAAAAGAACTTTCAACCTAGAATTTCATATCCAGCCAAACTAAGCTTCATAAATGAAGGAGAAATAAAACCTTTATGGATAAGCAATTGATGAGAGATTTCCTCACTACCAGGCCTGCCTTACAAGAGCTACTGAAAGAAGCACTAAACAGGGAAAGGAACAACCAGTACCAGTCACTCCAAAAACATACCAAATGGTAAAGAGCATTAACAAAATGAAGAAACTGCATCAACTAAGAGGTAAAACAACCAGCTAGCATCAAAATGGCAGGATCAAATTCACACATAACAATATTAACCTTTAATGTGAATGGGCTAAATGCCCCAATCAAAAGACACAGACTGGCAAATTGGATTAAAAGTCAAGGCCCATCTTGACTTTATATTGTGTGCTGTATTCAGGAAACTCATCTTATGTGCAAGGACACATGTAGGGTGAAAATAAAGGGATGAAGGAAGTTATACCAAGCAAATGGAGAGCAAAAAAAAAAAAAAAAAAAAAAAAAAAAGCAGGAGTTACAATCCTAGTCTCTGATGAAATAGACTTTAAACCAACAAATATCAAAAGAGACAAAGAAGGGCATTACATAATTGTTAAAGGTTAAATGCAACAAGAAGTAACAATCCTAAATATATATTCACCCAATACAGGAGCACTCAGATACTTAAAGCAAGTTCTTAACAACCTACAAAGAGATTTAGACTCCCACAGAATAATAGTGGGAGACTTTAACACTCCATTGCCAATATTAGACAGATCAATGAGACAGAAAATTAACAAGGATATCCAGGACTTGAACTTAGATCTGTACCAAGTGGGCCTAATAGACATCAGCAGAACTCTTTACCCCAAATCCACAAAATAAACATTCTTCTCAGCACCACATCACACCTACTCTAAAATTGACCACATAACTGGGAGTAAATCACTTCTTAGCAAATACAAAGGAATGGAAATTTTAACAGTCTCTCAGACCACAGTGCAATCAAATTAGAACTCAGGATTAAGAAAATCACTCAAAATTACACAACTACATAGAAACTGAACAACCTGCCTCTGAGTGACTACTGGGTGCATAATGAAATGAAGACAGAAATAAATAAGTTATTTGAAATGAATGAGAACAAAGATAAGATATATCAGAATCTCTGGGACATAGCTAAAGCAATTTTTAAAAGGAAATTTATACCACTAAATGCCCATGAGAGAAAGCAGGTAAGATCTACAATCGACAACCTAACATCACAATTAAAAGAACTAGAGAAGCAAAATCAAATTCAAAAGCTAGCAGAAGAAAAGAAATAACTGAGATCAGAGTAGAACTAAAGGAGATAGAGACATAAAAACCCCTTCAAATAAAATAAATGAAGCCAGGAGCTGGTTTTTTGAAAAGATCAACAAAATAGACCACTAGCCAGATTAATAAAGAAGAAAAGAAGAATTAAATAAATGCAATAAAAATGATAGAAGGGATATCACCACTGATCCCGCACTGGAAATACCTCTATGCAAATAAACTAGAAAATCTAGAAGAAATGGATAAATTCCTGGACACATACATCTCCCAAGACTAAACCAGGAAGAAGTTGAGTCCCTGAATAGACCAATCACAAGTTCTGAAATTGAGGCACTAGTTAATAGCCTACCAACCAAAAAAAGCCCAGACTAGACAAATTCACAGCCAAATTCTACCAAAGGTACAAAGAGGAGCTGCTACCAATCCTCCTTGAAACTATTCAAAACAATAGGAAAAGAGGGAGTCCTCCCTAACTCATTTTATGAGGCCAGCATCATCCTGATACCAAAACCTAGCAGAGACACAAGAACAACAGCAACAAGGAAAATTTCAGGCCAATATCCCTGATGAACATAGATGTAAAAATCCTCAATAAAATACTGGCAAACCGAATCCAGCAGCACATCAAAACCTTATCTGCCATGATCAACTCAATTTTATCTCTGGGATGCAAGACTATCTCACCATGTGCAAATCAATAAACATAATATATCACTTAAACAGAACCAATCACAAAAAACACAAGATTATCTCAATAGGTAAAGAAAAAGCCTTCAATGAAATTCAAAACCCATTCATGCTAAAAACTCTCAATAAACTAGGTATTGATGGAACGTATCTCAAAATAATAAGAGCTATTTATTACAGACCCACAGCCAATATCATACTGAATGGGCAAAAGCTAGAAGCATTCCCGTTTGAAACAGGCAGAAGACAAGGATGCCATATCTTCCCACTCCTGTTTGACATAGTATTGGAAGTTTTGTCTGGGGCAATCAAGCAAGAGAGCAGAAATAAAGGGTATTCAAATAGGAAGAGAGGAAGTCAAATTGTCTCTGTTTGCAGATGATATGATTGTATATTTGAAAAACCCCATAGTCTCAGCCCAAAATCTCCTTAAGCTGATAAGCAGTGTAAGCAAAGTCTCAGGATACAAAATCAGCGTGCAAAAATCATAAGCATTCCTATACACCAATGACAGACAAAGAGCCCAACCATGAGTGAACTCCCATTCACATTTGCTATAAAGAGAATAAAATACATGGGAATGCAAGTTACAAGGGATGTGAAGGACCTCTTTAAGGAGAATCATGAAACACTGCTCAAGGAAATCAGAGCAGACACAAGCAAATGGAAAAACATTCCATGCTCCTGGGTATAAAAAATCGATATTGTCAAAATAGCCATACTGCCCAAAGTAATTTATATATTCAATGCTATCCACATCAAGCTACCATTGACTCTCTTCACAGAATTTAAAAAAAAAAAAAGAAAAAAACTGTGTTAAATTTTATATGGAACCAAAAAAAGAGCCTGTGTAGATAAGACAATTCTAAGCAAAAAGAACAAAGCTGGAAGCATATATTTCAAACTATAATGCAAGGCAATAGTAATCAAAACTGCATGGTTCTGGTACCAGAATAGATATATAGACCAATGAAACAGAGCAGAGGCCTCAGAAATTATGTCATACATCTACAACCATCTCATTTTTGACAAACCTGACAAAAAGAAGCAATGGGGAAAGGATTCTTTATTTTAATAAATGGTGTCGGGAAAACTGGCTAACCATATGCAGAAAACTGAAACTGGACCCCGGACCCCTTCCTTATACCTTATACAAAAATTACCTCCAGATGGATTAAAGGCTTAAACATAAGACCTAAAACCATAAAAATCTTAGAAGAAATCCTAGGTAATAGCATTCAGAACATAGGCATGGGCAAAGACTTCCTGACTAAAACACCAAAAGCAAATGGCAATACAAGCCAAAATTGACAAATGAGATCTAATTAAACTAATGATATGCTGCACAGCAAAATAACCTATTATGAACGTGAAGAGGCACTCTATAGAATAAGAATAAATTTTTTCATTCTATCTATCTGAAAAAGGGCTAATATCCAGAATCTACAAGGAATGTAAACATATTTACAAGAAAAAAACAACCTAATCAAAATGTGGACCAAGTATATAAATAGACACTTCTAAAAAGAAGACATTTATGTGACCAACAAACATATGAAAAAAGTCATCACCACTGGTCATTAGAGAAATGCAAATCAAAACCACAATGAGACACCATCTCATGCCAGTTAGAATGGCGATCATTAAAAAGTCAGGAAACACCAGATGCTGGAAAGAATGTGGAAAAATAGAAATGGTTTTACACTGGTAATGGGAGTGTAAGTTAGTTCAAACATTGTGGAAGACTGTGACAATTCCTAAAGGATCTAGAACCAGAAATACCATTTGACCCAGAAATTCCATTACTGGGTATATACCCAAAAGACAATAAATCATTCTAATATAAAGACACATGTGCATGTATGTTTATTGCAGCACTGTTCACAATAACAAAGATTTGGAGCCACCCAAATGCCCATCAATGTTAGACTGAATAAAGCGAATGTGGCACATATACACCATGGAGTACTATGCAGTCATAAAGATGGGTGAGTTCATGTCCTTTGTAGGGACATGGATGAATCTGGAAACTATCCTTCTCAGCAAACTAACAGAAGAACAGAAAACTAAACACCGCATGTTCTCACTCATAAGTGGGTGTCAAACAATGAGAACACATGGATACAAGGAGGGGAACATCACACACTGGGACTTGTCAGGGGTAGGGTTCTAGGGGAAGGATATCATTAGGAGAAATACCTAATGCAGATGACAGGCTGATGAGTGTAGCAAACCACCTTGGCACATGTATACCTATGTAACAAACCTGCAAGTTCTGCATATATATTCCAGAACTTAAAGTATATTTTAAAAAAGAATCTTAATTTGATTTTATAGTTATATGAAATTGTAGTTAGAGAAATGCTTTTATTATGGATATTGTTCTTTATAAATAATAAACTTCTTGGACTGTAAGAAGGAAATTATATTAACTATACTTTTTAGGAAGAATATACACTTTTTAAATGTACAGAAAATTCTTGCAAAGGAGAATTTTTATATGACCTGTATTCAATTTTATAAGATTGCATTTTGTATTTGCTTCTCATTAAGGTTATTTAGTATATGTGTGAATAGTAGAAACAGAAAAAAATCTAAACTATTTTTTTCCCATAGAAAAACCTTTAATGGTCGTAATGATGCTGTAATAGTTAATTCTCTCTATTGGTAAATTAATAATCCTAGGCTAGTCTTCCTCATATTGAAATGTAGTGGGTCAGTTTTCTCTTCCGTGCTCAGCATTCTTACCCTTTCTGATTGAGATTTATGCACTTATTCTTCCTTATATCTCTGGGTTATATAGAGACAACTAATTTTTCAGATAGTAAAAAATTGAGTAAAGTAGCATGTTTCTGCTTCACAAAAACCCTGAATTAAGTAAATCCCATACTACTTTATCTTCTTTTTGTTCTAGGGTGCGTTGGTCAGTGCAAGTTCAGATGATACACTTCATTTGTGGAACCTTAGACAAAAAAAGCCAGCTATTCTCCATTCTCTTAAATTTAACCGAGAAAGGTAAGAACCTATGAGTTAAATAATTTCTTAATGTACCACAAAATTATTTTTTGAACAAGTTTTGGTTAATTTTATCAGCTTTTTTTCTCAAATTTCAACAGCTAGAAATAATGTAATGTTTATTCTGACTTTTATAGTGGTTTCTTTTTTATAGGAAATGCATAATTAATATAGATCCAGTCACCTACTAATGCAATGTTTATTAGCTTTAGGAGTTTACGAGCTGAGATTATGGTGTTTTCTACGTATAGAATCATATTATCTGCAAAGAGAGATCATTGATTTTCTTTCTTCCTTTTAATATTTACAGGCCTTTTATTTCTTTCTCTTGCATGATTGCTCTGGCTAGAGATGCAGGACGTTGAATTGTACCAGAAGCCTTTTCTGCATGTATTGAGATAGTCATGTGGTTTTTGTTTTCAGTTCTGTTTATGTGGTAGATAATATTTATTTATTTGTGATTATTGAACCAACCTTGCTTCCCTGGGATAAAGCCTACATGAGTGTGGTGGATTATCTTTATCATGTGCTACAGGATTCAGTTTGCTAGGTTTTTTTGTTTTTTGTTTTTTGTGTTTTTTTTTGAGAATTTTAAAATGTGTGTTCATCAAGGATATTGGCCCTAATATTTTTTTGTTGTGTTTCTGCCAGGTTTTGGTATCAGGATGAAGCTGGCTTCATAGAATGAGTTGGAGAGGAGTTCCTCCTCCTCAATTTTTTGGAGTAATTTCTGTCAGAATGGTACAAGCTCTTCTTTATGAATCTGGTGGAATTTGGCTGTGAATCTTTCTTGTCCTGGGTCCTTTATGGTTGGTAGGCTTTTTATTACTGATTCAATTTTGGAACTCTTTATTGGTCTGTCTAGGGATTCAGTTTCTCTCTGGCTCAATTTTGGGAGTTCATATGTTTGCAGGAATGTATTCATCTCTTTTAGACTTTCTAGTGTATGTGCAGAGGTGTTCTCTGAGGGTTTTTTATATTTCTGTAGGATTGGTGCTTATGTCTTTTTTGGCATTTCTGATTATTTGGGTCTTCTCTTTTTTTCTCTTTATTAGCATAACTAGTGGCCTATCATATTTCTTCTGTCAAAAAAACAACTCTTGTATTCATTGATCTTTTGTATGTTTTTTTGCCTCTTAGTCTCTGTCATTTCAGATTTTATATTAATTATTTTTATCTTTTGCTAGCTTTGGGTTTGGTTTGATTTTGTTTCTCCAGTTCCTCTAGGTGTAATGTTAAGTTGCTAATTTAAGATTTTATGAATTTTTTATGTGAGCATTTAACAGTATAAACTTTTCTCTTAGCACTACTTTAGCTGTGTCCTAGAGTTGCTGGTATGTTTTTTTGGTTCTCAGTAGTTTCAGAGAATTTCCTGATGTCTGCTATAATTTCATTGTTTACCCAAAGGTTATTCAATAGCAGGTTGTTTAATTTCTATGTAATTGTATGGTTTTGAACAATTTTCTTAGTGTTGATTTTTATTTTTATGGCATTGTGGTCTGAGAATGTGGTTGGTATGATTTCAGTTTAACAGTTTTTCTGAGGATTGTTTAATGTCCAGTTGTTTTAGAACTAAAACATTTAGGGATTCATTTTAGAGTATGTGCTATGTCCAGATGAGAAGACGGTATATTCTGTTCTTTTTGGGTGGAGCAGTTTGTAGATGTCTAATTTGGTTCCATTTGGTCAAGTGTTAAGTTTAGGTCCTAAAAATCCTTGTTAATTTTCTGGCTGGATGGTCTATCTAAAAACTGTCAGTGGGGTGTTGAAGTTTCTCACTATTATTGTATGGAAATCTAAGTCTTTTAGTTGATCTCTAAGAACTTGCTTTATGAATCTGGGTGTGTCTGTGTTGAGTGCATATATATTTAGGATAGTTAGGTATTCTTGTTGAATTGAACCCTTTACCATTATGTAATGACCTTCCTTGTCTTTTTTGACCTTTGCTGTCTTAAAGTCTTTTTTTTTCTTTTTTTTTTTCCTGAAATTAGAATAGCAACCCCTGATTTTTTGTTTTCCATTTGCTTGGTATATTTTCTTTTATCCCTTTACATTGAGCCTATGGGGTGTCATTGCATGTGAGATGGGTCTCTTGAAGACAGCATACCATTCAGTCCTTCTTTATTTAGCTTGCCAATCTGTGCCTTTTAATTGGAACATTTAGCCCATTTACATTCAAATTTAATGTTGATATGTGTGGATTTGATCCTTTCATCATGTTTCTAGCTGGCTATTGTGCAAACTTGTTTGTGTGGCTGCTTTATAGGGTCAATAGTTTGCATACCTAAGTGTGTTTTTGTAGTAGCTTATAACAGTCTTTGCTTTTCATATTTAGCACTCCTTTCAGGACCTCTTGTAAGGCAGGTCTGGTTGTCATGAATTTCCAGACAAGCATTTGCTTGTCTGGAAAAGATCTAACTTCTCCTAGGTTTATGAAGCTTAGTTTGTCTGTATATGAAATTCTTGCTTGGAAATTATTTTCTTTAATAAGGCTTAATATAGGCCTTCAATTTCTTCTGGCTTGTAAAGTTTCTATTGAAAGGTCCTCTGTTAGCCTGTTGGGGTTTCCTTTGTAGGTGTCTTGCCTCTTCTTTCCAGCTGCCTTTTCACTTTTTCCCTTTTATTTCAGCCTTGGAGAATCTGATGATTATGTGTCTTTGCCATCGTCTTTTTGTGTAGTATCTCACTTAGGTTCTCTGCATTTCCTGAGTTTGTATTTAGGCCTCTCTAATGAGGCTGGGGAATTTTTCATGGATGATACTCTGAAATACATTTTCCAAGTTTCTTACTCTCTCCTTATCTCTTTCAGGGACACCAATGAGTTATAGATTTGATCTCTTTACATAATCTCTTATTTTTTGAGCGTTTTGTTTATTTTTTTCTCTGACTGCTATAGTTAAGAGAACCAGTCATTGAACTTACAGATTCTTTCCTGAACTTGGTCTATTCTTCTGTCAATACTTGTGAATACATTATGAAATTCTTGTAGTGTGTTTTCCACTCTATCAGATCAGTTTGAGTCTTTATTTTATTTTTTATTGTTTTCAGATGGAGTCTCACTCTGTTGCCCAGGTTGGAGTGCAATGGTGCGATTGTGGCTCACTGCAACCTCCACCTATTGGGTTCAAGCAATTCTCCTGCCTCAGCTTCCTAAGTAGCTGAGACTTAGGCTCATGCCACCACATCTGGCTAATTTTTGTATTTTTAGTAGAGGCAGGGTTTCTTCATGTTTGTCAGGCTTGTCTTGAACTCCTGACGTGGTGATTCACCCACCTTGGCCTCCCAAAGTGTTGGGATTACAGACATGAGCCACTGTGCCTGGCCAAGTCTTTCTTAAAATGTCTATTTTATCTATCAGCTCTTGTATCATTTTATTGTCATCCTTAGATTCTTTGTATTGGGTTTCAACTTTCTCCTGAATCTTTATGGTCTTCATTTTTATCCAGATTCTGAATTCTATTTTTGCCATTTTTGTCTGGTTAAGAATTCTCGCTGGGGAACTAGTGTAGTCATTTGTGGGAAAGAAGACACTCTCTTTTTGAGTTGCCAGAGTTCTTGTGCTGGGTCTTTCTCATCTGTGTGGGCTGATTTTTTTTTTTTAATCAACTGTGGTGTAATCTGAGTACAGTCAGTTGACTTCCTTTCTAGATGTTTTCAGAGGGCTGAGGCTTTGTGCTGGATTTTTATTTGTAGCTCATTTCTTGTCCTTGGTTTCACAGGGAGGCATATTAGCAAAATGTTTTTCATGTTGAAAATATTTTTGGGTTGTGATCCAGTAGATGGCACTTAAGCATAATTGCCAGTAGGCAGGCTTTTGCTCAGCAATGTGCCACCTCTATTTTTTTTTAATTGCATTTTAGGTTTCGGGGTACATGTGAAGAACATGCAAGATTGTTGCATAGGTACACACATGGCAGTGTGATTTGCTGCCTTCCTCCCCTTCACCTATATCTGGCATTTCTCCCCGTGCTATTTCTCCCCACCTCCCCCCATCCATCCCCCACAGACCCCAGTGTGTAGTGCTCCCCTCCCTGTGTCCATGTGTTCTCATTGTTCAACACCCGCCTATGAGTGAGAACATGCAGTGTTTGATTTTCTGCTCTTGTGTCAGTTTGCTGAGAAATTTCAGTCTCTTAATGTTCTGAAAGCGTGGGCTCCTTTCCCACTTGAGCATTGGCTGCATATCTTGTCTTGGTATTCCCAGGCTGCACACCACAGCCCTGGGACAAGCTCAGGCTTTTTCTTCCTTACCTTGCTTGGAGGCAACAGGGGAAGGAACTTTGCCAAGGTCAGTGGCTGTGGCAGAGGACTTTTCACTTTCTTTCTCCTTGGGGCTCCGCCCTAGAGAAATGCAGAGCTGGAGTCTTATTGTATTCAGCCAGGTGTGAAGTGGCTGTATTGTGGGTTCAAGGTTGGTGGGAACTGCCTGGTTATGAGTAGGGGGGATGGAGGGCTCATGGGGGAGACAGAATAGCCTCTTCTCCTCTGGGCAACAGCTGCGGTTTGTTCAAGGTGTGGTTTAAGCACTCAGGTCTTTGGTTTTTTCTCAGTCTGAGGGTGATATGGGAGGTGGGTAGGGAAGTACTAGGTAGAGAAGGGTGGTTTCTGTGGCAAGGACTCTATCCTCATGCCTTTGCCCATAGACCTACACGAGAACAGGCACTCCTGTTTTCCCTCCCAAATGTTGCATTTTCCAAGACCATTCTGGTCTACCATACCCCGATCCTGTGCCCATATAAACCCGAAAGACCATAGTGGGCATGACACACACAAATGGCTAGACATCAAAAGGAGTAGAAGAGCAAACCAACAGACACTAGCACACATGGGCAGGCCATTAAGGTGGGATGATTCAGAATTCAGTTGGGACTGAACTCCAGGGGAAGGCCACCTTCCCAATCCATCTCCCTTTTGGCTCCCCATCCACCTCACTGAGGGCTACATCCACCACTCAATAAAACCTTGCACTCATCTTCCAAGCCCACTTGTGATCTGATTTT